TACATACATTTATGTGAAATCACGAAACACATTATACAGTTTCATTATGAAAATAAAGTTTATGTACACATATTATGTATTGTATTAATTTATACTGCTTTAAATTCTTTTTTGACATGATACATATTATTATATAACTTGTATTTCTGATGCAACTTAATTTTTAGATCATTTTAAATTTAATGAAAATATATTCATATTTTAAATATTTATTTAAAAAAATAATATAGAAATAATAAATTTTTCATTTCCAAAATAATATAACTATTTAAAAATTCAATTAATGGCTTAAATAATTTCGATATATTTTAACATGGAGTATATAATTCCATGTCTGAATGCAGCAAATTATAACTTATTAGAAAAAGTTTGACCTAGATTTAAGTTTAATATTCCAGAATATATAATCCCTAAATTATAATCAATATGTATCATAATTTGAATTCATATAAACAATACCAATTTTCATAACACTTCAAATCGTTAGTATCAACAAAGTTAACTTCTCTATGAAATTAGTTTTTCTGTTGTTTGGCTGATGCAAATAAGATTATACACGTAATAACCGTAAGCTTGAATATCGAAATTATCTAGCTTTTTAGGTGGGCTGTCTCTATCGCGTAGCAGTCTTCTATTCCCTCTTTTAGTTGTCCATTTTACATAAGAGTTAGGATATTAAGATATTATTATTTACTCATAGCATTTGCGAATTGAATCCTCCAGTCTAAGTTGAATGAGATCGCTCCAATTAACTTGGAAGCTAACTTAATATTTCTAGAGGAAGGGTTTTACTTGTTTTGAAATTCCATTGTAACGAATATCTCAACTAGTCAAACAATGCAAGTTTTTGATATTTTGTGAGTTAATTTTCAACATTTCTTCGTGACTAATGAATACCATGGATAACTTGCATAGATAGCCGACAGATATACCTGTAATTGTTAATCTCAAACCCAAAGTCACCTTTGTATAATTTTGGATCTAAGGAATGATTGAAAGGTAAGTTTACTTCTTAAAACGTCTACTATAAAAAAATTTATCATGCATGAATGCAAATGATTCTAATATCTAGAATCTATAATGATATTAATACAATTCACGTGTATATATCCATGTATACATGTATACATCAAAGTGTGCTCTGATAGCATGGGATATCAGCATAGCTGTGAACTATACGATCATACATAATTATGTACTAAATGTGTACTTTAGATCTAAAATATATGATCTAAGTAAAAGAAGTTGCAGTATCTCAACATTGTTTTAATTTGGAGTAATTGACATTCTCAGATGATTCTTTACGATAAAATGAAATTGAGTATCGATCATAATTGAACAACACCGAAATATTTTTTGATAATCATAAAAACAGTGGAAATATTTTATTGATTGAAAGACTCGTCAGAAAATTATAGAAATAATGTGGGATGTGATCAATTAAGATCATTGATCTGAATTCATGAAATTATATTTTTTTAAATTGCATAATCTTGGAGCACACAAATTTTTTTTAAAAAACATTTTTGAGATGAATTTTGAAGTAGAAAAGAGAGTTTCGAAATTATAAAGAACTCAATGATTAATAATAATTCATTGTTGTTTATTATCATAGGGTTGAATGATAATCTAACACATAATATCTTTAATAAGTTTAAGCGATTCAAGCTTCAAATTGACGTTTTAGAGTAGGGGCTAGTTGTGGAAGACCCAAGTCCACTCTACATTTTCAAAGATAACATGAAACTTTCCCATATTTCAATCAAAGTATGCAGCACGGAAGAAACATTCTCATGTGCTAATGCTGTAAGGACGATCTATTCCCTTTTAGGCCTCCGCTCCAGTGGGCAAGTGACATATGCAATTTAGTTTCAGTCCATAGTTGAAACTGTCATACTCGGTCAGAAACATATGTTGAAATATCAGTCATCTTGCCTGAAAGTCAAAAGCTTTGGTTCCAGGGCTCCTTATTGGTTCACATCCAGCTCAGACCATGATTGAATCCTGTTGGCATCGGAAACTCGTTTTTAGTAAATGACAATGAAATTCACACGTTTTTTGGAGTCAAATGCTCTCATCGATGCTACTTTTAGTTTGTCTTTCTCCTAGACAGACGATTGCTCTCAATGACAGTATTTTCAAATCTTGAAGCTTAAAGTCTTAGGCCAAGAGAAAAAAAAACGTCTTGAAAGGATAAATTTATTTCATGTATGAGATAGCAGGTGGATATATCTAGCTGCTATAACGCACATGGGGATCTTGCAATCTTTGATAGCAATAGATGTGCACCACCAATGATACCTCGTAAACGAAGAAAACCCGCAACAAAGCATTTGAATGCATCACAAAGAATTCACTACTATTTAAAGAACGAATCTACTTATGATGAATGATGAATAAGGAAAGTTCGTACAAGAGACAGCTTACAAGCTTTGTAAACCTTTTGGTCGGTTTTCGGATAAATCTTAGTTTTGAGTCAAGACACATGACCCGTATCCATGTGAGAGTCATTGATGGGACATGCCACAGTCCACTTTTTTATAGATTTGATTAAACGGTCTGCTTGTTTTCTCCTGTCACTGTGTACTCTTTCAATCACATTTTTTCCCAACTGATTTTCTACACTACTACACTGTTGTTGAATATGTGTAAACCTTTACTGGGTTTCTTTCATATTATCAAACATGTGCGAATTCTGTGAAGACGCTTGATGATTCAAATCCAGTTTTGAAGAGAAGTGTTTGCAACCTTCCGTTAACGTCCTTCATGTTGCTTGTGTTTTGACAGCTGTATGATTTTTGCCCTCCTCTATAGTTTACTCTCTACACTCAGGAACCAAGTCAATAGACATTCTACTGTTTGTGGTCGGGAAGATGAGGCGTGGCTGCCCTATAAATCTTTAGCAAAAATCTTTTAATCTTTCAGTTATTTTCTGGTAGATATCTTGAATGATCTACAATGATTCGAGAAATTTGTTCTGTTTACTCCTTCATGTGCCAATGTTTTGGTGGATTCTTTTTTGTTGCTGTTTCGCTCTTTGGCTTAAATGAACCTGCCTGGCTAACTTTCTGATTTTAGATGCCCTACTGCTCACGCCAGGCAAGCATGACGCCGGAAGTAGCAGGAATATTTATAATGTATCATTTACTTAATAACAATTTTCCAGAACATTTCAGTGCTGTCATTCGTTTGCACCCTTTTGTTGTTCCACTTTACTTCGTCATTGGCATTTGCATTTAAACTTTTATATGGATCACCTTCCTTAGAAAAATAAAAATGTGGACCTAAAGATCTGTTTTTTAAGAAAAACAGATCTCTCTCTTAACACGACTTGATAGAATGTATGACAGGTGACATACTCTTTTGTTAGTTTGTGATGAACATAAATTATGTGACACCATATTAAAGAAATGTTACTTTCTTCAAAATTTGTTGTGGAGGTTTGGTTCAAACAAACGATATCCTTTTTCTCATTGACTCTCATTGTCCATTTAATCCGATTCTCAAATATAAATATCAGTTTATAATATTTTTTATAAACTCAACTATCTAAACAAGTTCTCTCAGTCAGGACAATCTTAAGTGATGAACAAGCGTTCATACGTATTGAAACTTTGGTAACCTAAAAAGTCTTGGTTCATTTTTTTTTTGGGTGGAAGATACCCAAACCGACAACATTCAACTTGATGTGGGCCTCAAATGGACGAATAGAGCTAACCAGCAACTTTTCAATCTCCAGAAATAATAGTATTCAATGATTCTAGACCTGACCGCTCATATCACAGTAATCAAGCTTTGAATCCAGTGTGAGTGATTGGTTGTCACAATTGAGAAGTGAGGCATGCAAGTTTAAAATCATGGGACTCAATAAGTATTTATATCCACAAGAAAATATAATAAAAAATATAATTTTTTATACAACTGAGACGGTTAGTATTTACTCGTCTGCCGAAAGATGGGATTCGCTGAGACTGTCATGAGTCGTCGAACCAGCCAATCACCGAGCATCAAGTGAATATTCTGAGCTGTTTTGCCTTCAGCTGAAACCTGGGGTTCAAAAAGAATAAGTTATTTTTTACAACTTCAGCGGGGGATATTTCGAATTCTTGCCCTTCTGAAGTCAACTACCATAGTAACTCGACTCGCCTTGAAGTAAGCCAGCAGCGGACACACTCACAGTAACTCGATAGTAATTCTAACTGCCACACTCTAACCATCTCAAGTTTCTACCCATCAGTCAGTCGGTCCGATCCAACGGTAGAGGCAGCGGACCAGCTACATACCGCGCGAATCAAGGTCGCAAGAAGATTTTACAAGTAATGATACTGATGATAATTATGGGAGGTTCAAATTAACACGGATGAATATTCAAGAAATTGAATTCAAAAAGAAGGAAAAAGACAGAAAATATCGGGTCGGGGAGGACGGGGAGGACGGGGAGCTTCAAAAGGCGACACGCAAATTCTCGGGCCAATGATAGCTTCCAGTTCACATCACACCCTCACGAGAATCCACCCGACACTTGTGTAGCCAATAAGAACGGCAAAGTCTCAGACTTAAAATTCGCGTTGAGATAAATATTACTCCCGATTAAGGGCGGAGCCAATTGGATTAACGAGGCCACGAGTGATGTGGTGACGTGACTCTGCTGCCCACGCTCGCACCACGGGCAGGGACTGTGGGGCAAGGCCCTCGAGAGAAACAGGCGAGCAGTGCCCGCGAGCGCTCGGGCAGGGCAGTTGAAGCGGGCCATGTCAGCAGCTCGGACCACGCACAGGCCAGTTGGTACTCGGGACGAGTGGGGGGCGGGGGACTACGTACTACACCAGAGGAGACCCGCACCGGAGTGCCGCAAGAGTGAAGTAAACGGATCAAGAGAGCGCTTACCGGCGCCGGAAGTGGAATGCCGGGAATAGCTGCGTCGGGAAAGGCTGGAGGTCCCCGGCCGGGCGTCAGCATCCATATTTGGACAGTGTACTCCCCTGCCTGAGCAGACCAATGACTTTACTATCCCCCCAGCTCGCCCTTTCTTCCACCGCTCTCCCTCTCGCTCGTTCTCTCTTCCTCTTGTCCATCCTACCCCCCTGACTCCCTCCCTCTCCATCTCTCTTTGTCTCAAGAAGACGCAGACTCTCCAAGGCCCAGACTGTCTCTCACAGACACTCTCCCTCTCTCTCCGTCGCTGTCTGTCTGCTTTGTCTGCCCACTCGACTACTACTACTACTCGCACCCTGCACTCCACTACTGCTCACACTCAGCAGACACTTGGTGCTCATGTCTCCTCGTACTCTGCACTGATACACTCTCGAGACTCGGCTTGACGTCGAGGGACTTTGTCGGGCAATCACGACCTGATCTGTTCTGCATCTTTCTTTCTGTCTGTCCCTCGAAGACGAGAAGACAGTCGAACTCAGAGTTGCGATCTGTACAAGAATTGGACGTTCTTGGAAGAAAGATCAGCACTAACGGATTACTACGGGCTCGAGACTTCGGGACGCCAGCTTGTGACTCCGTCGCTTTGACATCCCCGCGTTCACGTATTTCTCTGAATGCGAAATCTGGATCTAGGCGCGTGGGGTTCAGTTGGAAGCGAGGGGAATTTGAAGGTTAGAATTCCGGAGTTTGTGAAGAAGAAGAGGATCGAGTGGATTGGAGTCGCAGGACTTACAGGATTCCGCTAGTGGCGCACCGGGGTTTGGTGGGCATTTCGGCTTCCGGATTTTATTTTATTTTTCTCAATCGAGGGAGGACTTGAGGACGAACAAAGGCATCGTGATAGGAGAAGAAGCGATGGCAGCGAACAGTAATGTGGGATCGACGAACTCGGGCAGCTCTCGGAGGACATCTTCCTCTGGGGGGCGTGCCGGGAGTGTAGCGAGCTCTTTGAGCAAGACTTTGAGCGCTGGTAGTAATGCAGAGGTGAATTCCTCGGAGACCAGTTCGGGAAGCTTTTCTTGTATGACCACCACCACGAGCAGTGGCTCGGAGGGAGCAGTTGCTGCTTCCATTGAGATGGTGGGAGGTGGAGGAGGACTACGGAGGGCAGTCAGTGCAGGTGGCAAGACGAAGAAGAGGTTTGTCGGGGTGAGACAGAGACCGTCGGGAAGATGGGTCGCAGAGATCAAGGACACCACCCAGAAGATCAGACTTTGGCTGGGCACCTTCGATACTGCCGAGGATGCTGCTCGCGCTTATGACGAAGCCGCATGGCTTTTGCGCGGTGCAAACACCCGCACAAATTTCGTTCCCAGCACTTCGACTGATGCTTCCGTTCTGCCCTCTAAAGCTGCCAGACTTTTGCAGCTTCGCAAAAACGCTGCAGCTGCGACTGCCAGCTCTCAAGAAACAAACAACATCAGCAACGGAGCCACTCCACCTGCAGCAGCTGCTGCTGCTGCTTCCGCACACGTGAATTCCAAGCCACCTCAGGCTCAGAGTGGCACTTCGGCAGGGAACAAACTAGAGGGAAATGATAATGCCAATTCAATTTACTCGGCACCACCGAAATCGCCCCCCATACCCCCGGCAGTAGTCTTGCCATGCTCGGGCAGCAACAACAGCAATCAGGCTCCTCCTCCTCCTCCTCCTCCCCTGACAGTCGTGACCTCGGCATCAGCTGCATCGACGTCCCCGTACTGCAGCAGCAACATTGGACACGTTTCGAATTTTTCGGGGGAGGTTTCAAAATCCGAGAGCAGCAATTATGAGAGCTCAGTCGAGGAGATGTGCGAGATGGACGAGGCACCAGGCTTGAATAATGCGCCGGGGCTTTTCAATCCGGATCTCGATGAGAGTCAGCGCAGGAATGGTCATCCGACTCTTGTGAATGTCAAGCAGGAATTAGTATCCAACACTTATCAACCCCGGGTAGAGCTTAGCCCAATTAGGGAGAATCGCAAAGAGAAGGATTACTGCTCTGAAGCGCCCCCACAAGACAGCTTCGTGGATGACACAGACATGAGCAGTGGCTTGTCCGGGTTGGACGATGTGGGTCTGAGCGGCGTGGATTCGTGTTATACTTCCGATTTTGATTTCCCCGCGGACATGGGCCCCGATTTGGATCTTGGGAGCTTGATTCCGAGCCCCCTTTCGGCAGACTTGTCAAACGGGGATGAGGAGGATTCGCTCTCGGAGCACGTAAGACGCATGTCATACGAGAGGCAAATCAGCGCAGGACTGTACGCGATCAACGGAGTGCAGGAGTGTTTGTCTCTCTCATCTCATTCATGGGGGCCTTCATCTTGGAACGGCGGATTGTCATCGCCGTCTCTGACTCTGACCGCCGGGTTCAGGAGGTCGTCGACCTCGGCCCCATTTCTCACGGCCTCGCCGGTAGCAGGGTGGAAATCGGTGGGGAGCTCGGGGGGCAGTGGATCATCATCATGGGTTTCCTCGAGCCAGCAACAACAACAACAACAACAAGCCAACAGCAGCGGGGGCTCGACGGGCAGCGGCAGCAATGGCTCGAATAACAGTGCCGTGGCGGAAAGTGCCGAGTGTCCGAGCCAAGATGCTCTGTGGCAATCGTGGGATTTACCACCGCTGTGCGTGGTGGCATAGACCGGAGCAGCTGCGGAAGGTGTTCGGTCAATCTTGCTCCGTTTCGTTGGATCGAAGAATGTGTACATAGTTTACTTCTGACTCACGATATACTGAGACTCTTGCACAGTTCATAGACCAACTGTCTTTTACGTGCGACAGTGCGCCATTTTACAGGCCTCGTCACCTGTACTCAGCTTTCATTCGACAGCTCTCGGTGTGGGATGGAGTTTGGTTATGGTGGAGACCTGACAGCTGTCGCCCCTAGAAGAGTTCTTCGCATTTCATATGAGCACCTAGGTCTTGGGGTCGGTGGTTGTCCGTGATCCCAATCACTGCTCATACTAAATGCGAGGCATTGTGATTGGCTCAGATCTCCCACTCTCTTATGTGTGTACAGCTAGCAACTTATTGCTCTGTTCTGGATCAATGCTGTGTTAATCAGAGACCGAAACTCTCAACTCCAGTCACAACACGCACGCGAACATTCAATCAATCGTTTATTTATCATCCGTCATCATCGAATCGACTCGAGCTTAACAATCTTGTTTAAGGCTGGGAGATCTACAAACCCTCAGGGGATATCTCATCTGTAGTGTAGATATTTGGTTCACTGGAGCAATAAAGTTGAATGCGGTTCATTCCTCAATTTCTGCATCTGTGCACCTTCTCACTCTCTCGCTCGCTCACGCGGGGTCTGCAGCTGTACCTGGTGCTTCCGCCCAGACCCGCTGGTTCCTGTTCTGTGTCATGAGCACTTTGCAATCTGTCTCCCCTCCTTTCCCTCCCTCTGTCCACTGCTGTCGGTGTTCTGGATACTGTCGTCGCCTTGTTTCTATCCTCTGCTCCTCTACTCTACGTTACCGAGACTGTCATCAACGACGTCTGCCCTACCTGACTCTCGAATGCAATGCAGTGCAGTGCACTGCGATTTGATTTGAATATTGTTGTGACTTGTGTAGTTGGGATATGTACTAATGCACACGGGTGTCGGCAGGTTTGTGCAGTGCGTGACCCCTTTGACAGTACGTGGATTCAACCACAGCATTATTGTCAGATAGTACGAGACGTACTTTTAGCTGCACATATCACTGCTGCGTGATTTATCTTGCCAATTGTCCCTTGTCCCCTCAGATCAATCCATGAGGCTCATCTGATCAAGAATTTCCTTTTCTTCAGATCTGAATGGATATGCTGACCCGTCAGAGTCGAACGAAAGAATTATCTCGTGCCTCTGTCCAGCCCCTCATTTCGAACCAGAACGATTCAATCATACGATGATTGCGTAAGCAGTGCAACGGTTGATGAGGGTTCGAGGGTGGCGTTTCCATGCAGCTCGCAGTGCGGGTCTCAGTTTCAGATTGGGTTTCTGAAAAGATACCAGAAAATGAGTTTTCATGAGTTTCTTGTCTGTCACGCGATAATGATTGTTACCATGTGAAGAACAGACACGAGATGCATTTTGACGTGATTTGAGAGGTCTAATTGGACTGATTGATCGTAACCGGCTTGACCTCGCGATGATAATATCACCCAAGATCAAGAGGGCGATCACAATTCTGAAGAGACAACTCGAGTCTCGAACTTCTTTAATCCACATGGCACATCCTTGTCACTAACAAGCAATCATTCCATTTTCACAATCATGGGCCGCTGAAAGCGATCACTCACATTCACCTTTGCCACTCCCCAGCACTATACCGGGTCAACGCACCGCTCTGAGTGAACAGCATTCAGTGAACAGATTTATGTATCCGAAATCCGCTTTCAAGATGAACTGAACATTATACGGATGGACGAGGACAACGACGACGAGCACTGGAGGCAGTACCTTTTTGCGTTCAAAGCAGTTAACACCATCGCCATCTCGTCCGTCGTTGCCGTCATTGCATCCGTCTGTGCATCCACAGACTTTCAGTTCATAACTTCACAAGCAGCAGCAGGGGATCTCGCGGGATCAAAATCCGCTCTATTATTTTCTCTTTACGCTTCAAATGGGAGCCAAGCCTGAGCGCGTATCGCACGTGTCGGCGCTGCAGATTGTTGCACTTCCTGTTTTGTCACGTTCCGGTTCTGTCGTTACTCGGAGTGGTATGGCACATGGTGCAGTGACTGCAGTTTCTTGTGATCCAGTAATTATGATCATTCATTCATTGATTCAGTCTGTCAGTCAGCGGCTCCGACTATCATACAAGACCTTTCAAAACGTTCTCGAGTGTCGACTGGCGATGGCTTAAAGTTACGTGGTAGTTTTGTGCCAAGACGAGACGGGTGCAACTACTGCATCTCTCCATCGTCTCCATTGGCAGCTTCCGGGATCACGGTGCAGCAGTTCCGCAGCTTCGTGACTTCCAGCAAAGTTTTAAGTTACCGTCACATTGTTTTGTCTTGAGCAGGGTCTTGACATTGGGTCTAGCATTTGGTCTTGTGGGTGAACCTTTTACGGAGGTGTGGCAAGTAGTAGGTCGGACTTGTGAGAGATCGAGATCCTTGTGATAACTTGTTTGCCTCTCCAATAAAGGATGTGATTCGGCTGGATGATTGCATGAGTGACCCAGCCCATCGTGGCTCGACTGATTGCTGAGCTAGACATGACCAAGGACTGATTCTGCCGACAGTGTCTTAAGCTGAACACAGCACAACACAACACTATAGCAGCTCGCCATCTACTCAAAAGCATCGAGAATGAATTTATCTTATCATAAGGGGCAGGCAGATCAGATTTCGATCTCGCTGGAAATCTTCCCGGAGGAATATGAACTGAACTCCCGTCATTCCCGAACTCGCTTGACGCGATGGATATGGCGAGCCAGACGACCGGTCATGCTTTTTTAATACACAAGCTTGCATACCATGTCGTCCGTCCTTTCGTGAGGCGGCGCAGAGGTGGTCTCTTCTGTGTGTCGCAAGCAACTCAACGAGAATAATTTGCGAAGTGTCGAAGGGAAAAAAGGCTCGAGATACTCGCTGCTTATATTTAACATGAGCAGCAGGAGGGGAGAAACGATGTGGCAGGGGATAAGAAGGTTGCAAAAGCCAAATAGCTATGGGACTTTCCGCACAATCGCAACATAGCCAGCCAGTCTGGGAGCTGACTCAACTGGAGGAAGCGTCATAGACAGAGAGCCAGCCAGCCAGACAGGAATGTGGTTTGAAGTTAAATCCTGGTTCTGGGCCCAGCTGCTCATTTGCTCACAAAGTTTACGATTATCTGGAAGCTCAACTTGCTCGATTGGCATCTATCCCCGCTGCATTTTGTCACCTTGGGTCCCACGTCCAAGTAATACTTGCTTGCGAAGACTGGGAGCACAAACGCCACAGTGCGCAGAAAAGTCTTTTCCGCATTTTCATTCTGATCAAAAGGCGAAGAAGAAGCGGAAGAAGCGAAAGCGAACAGGGCACTCGAGATTCTCGCTCTCGTTCCGTTCCCGCCCCACGGGGCCAGTCCTACGACTCCTGCCCCTCGCCTCCCCTCCCGTCCCGCTCGCTTGCTCTAATTTTGTTTTCCCTATGCTCCCTCCACGAGGGACTGACTGACTGACGGGCGGGGCGGCCATAGCTGCCATCTTTCTGCTGCCCGTGATTCGTCCAAGACGCAGTTCCACGGCGACGTGTCGCCAATCACAGACGTGCAATGGAGGCAGGATCGGGGACAGGTGACAAATTTACCTGAGACTCGGAGATAAGAAAGTGCGCCGAGGTTTGATTCCGTTATTGATATCCACCAGTGTCTAGGACCTGCATAGTACCGATCTGTACTCCAGCCCACCCCGCACTGCACTGCACTTCACTGCTGCTGCAGGTGTGGTCAGGTGCGAGTCATGTCAGTTCCCGCAAACTCGAGAGTCGAAGCAGGGAGCAAGAGAGAGAGAATCATGGACCGGAGGAGTTACTCTGACTGCTTCACAAAGAAGCAGCCGCAGCTGCCTCGCGCGTTTTCCACTTGGGGGAATGGGGAATGGGGATTGAGTTTTGAAATCGAACCGGACAATATACAGATCTGCGTTCGTTTGTTGCTTTTCGTACGATCGCAGAGTACGGTAGCTAGAAGAGGATTCAATTCCCATAGTACATCGGATTTCTATTTCCATGTTCGTCATCATTCACAGTGAGTCAGAGAGTGAGTGTGCGTCGGATATTATTCAAGTACGATCCAGTGTTAATCTTACCTCGCCCCGTCCTGCTTACACCTCCTCTAACTATCAAGCCTACCATAGCGCGAGTCAGGACTCGGAGCGAGGGGGATGGGGAGGAGGAATTCCGAGGTGGTGGTGAAGAGTCCGGACGGGACCCGGAGAAGATGATGTACAGGAGTCGTGACATGCTGCGAATTGGACAGAGGCGAGAGGAGAGGACTGTTATTAGGCCGAGGTTTGAGGGTTTGGGCTTGAGGTGGTGAGGTGCGAGAGAATCATGAGATCCATGAACATAAAAGCGCACGTTCGCCTCCGAAAGTGAATGAGGCTTTGTAGGAGCCTAGAGGCAAGATGATTTCGATGAATCTACCACATGGCTCACACTCCAGCGCCATGTGGGTGCGCTTCTGGACCAGGGGCGAGCGGAGACTGGCCCCCTAAAAATACCCTGTTAGCGGCACTGTCTTCAATTCCGCGACTGGATCTCGCATCATGCCCATGGCGTGCCTAATCCTCTCCCCACTTTCCTGCGGGCAGCCCCAACTTTATCCCCGAGTGATGCGAAAGCGCCCTCGCTCTGACTCACTCCTACCCTCCACCACCCCCACTCTCCATCATGCCCTGGGTTTCAGTCGACGGACTTAGATCTCGCATCCCCGAGCATGGTTTGCAATGCTGCGGTTCCAGTCGCAGGTCTGGCTATGGTCAAGGCGATTCTCCAACTGCGAGCGAAGATGCAGGATATACGATCCGATGCAGCTGATGCTGATGCTGATGGTGACTCCCGGGATTCCGGCCTGCTGGGCATGAAGCCGCACGACTTGCCGGATGAGCCCTGCAATAGGAGCAGAGCAGAGCAGTGCGTTGTGAGAGGATGTGGAATCCAAACCGAAGGCGACAGAACAGACACACAGATGAGAACAACAGAGGGAAGCAGCCAGGGAACCGACAGAGCGAGCCGCATCCCCCAGACACCTCGAATCAGAACTCCCGAAAAGTGCACCGAAACATGCTGGACTGACTGAAAAGACCTCGCAAGCAGCGGACGAGCGAGCGAGAGCGAGCCAGCCTCATCCCGCTTCCTCGAAAGGGACCAGAGCATGACCTTAACGCTGAAACTAATGCTGCTGCTTCTGGACTCATTCCGGGGAACTCGATACCAAATCCTTTCGCTCGGGTCCGGCCTCTAGATTGGCGACGCTTTCCAGGAATTTCCGTCCCTCGTTCCGACCCAAGGATTCTCCTCGTTCCTATCCGGAACAGGACTTTCTCCCGTCAGAATTTCACAGTGCTACTACAGAGCGCATGGGATCTTCCAAGCCGGGGGCCGCTGTCGCGATGCGCCGAAAGGCGACAAGGAGTCCCCAGGTAGGATTCCTGCCGGAGGGGGAGAGAGCATGGCCGGATCGTGCGACCTTGTCAAATCCGACGCTCTCAAGTAGTCTCTGCCCTGGCTGCTGCGCGTAGGGGCCACTAGAATCTTCTTCCCAGAGGACCCCGGTCGTCGCCCTCCCTCTGCCTTCCTCGTCAAGGAAGAACGATTGTTTGTTTTCCCGGCATCTCCAGCTTCTGGCCATCGCCCCAGCTCGACGCTGTCGTTTCCCCCGCTCAGGAAACTTTCCTGACCTGGGCATGCCTGTCGCTTCCTCCGCAAGCGACGAAGTCCAGGGCTTTCAACGCGAGCTTCAGGTTTTCCTACGGGGATCCTCTTCCCACCCACTCACGCTCGTCGTTAGTCTCTGGGGAAATTGCTCCCTTCCTTCTTGCATAGGCAGAGCCGGGGATGGATGGGAATGAGGCGCAAGGAGGATGTTCGCAAAGTCTCGGTCAACCTGGCGCGAATCGGTTCACAAGAATCACAGCTCGAATTAATTAATTAAAGCGGAAAAGTTCCTCTGTCGCAGCAGAGGGAAAGCAGAAGGAAGGCAAGGGGTGAAGAAGGTGGGGCCCGGGCAGAATGAGGTTCTTTTGCTTATTAGGGCCAAACATGGATGCAGTGGCTCCGCCCTTTTAATGGCAGCGACGGACTCGCTCGCCGGAGTGACGCTCTGACAGTCGAAGGAAGCAAGGTTGGAGATGAGTGGCCCGAGAAATTACTTTCCGATCCGACCGCTATACTCGCTTCTTCTTCGGGTGAGCATTATTAGAGTCTATCTCTCTTTGTCCATGACAGAAACCCTCACGCAGTTGTCTTTCCTTTCCAGAACATCCTCGCCTATTTCTCGAGTCATGCGTCGGTCGTCTTGACCACAGCGAGCCTCGTTCGTCCAGAGCAAATCCACTCGCGAGACTTTCCCAGCGACGATGGTGGCACAACGTGACCGCTTTCAGAGCCTCATTCCGGCTCGAATGCCGGGCTTCGAGTGACGGCGGTCTTCATGAATTAAAGCCAACGATAATTGCGCCATGTTGAGGCTGTGTGCATTAATTACCCTCGGAGTGTGAGTGCGTGCGTGCGCACGGCCTTGTCACGAGTCTGTGTAAATCAAGAAGTCCGACTCCGGGTCGGTCAATGGGCTCTGCGATCCCCAAGGCTAACGCCGAACATCACCACCATCGCCAGGGAAAAGTCACAAGTCTTCCCTGCATGCGCCATTACGTGTCCTGCGAATGATTCGATCTTGACCCCTCCGAATGCCCACCTCTCCATGTGGACTCCGCATTTGGACACACTCTCGGATCGCTCGCATGAGGAGGAGGTGGGCGCGGGATCCTCCGCCTCAGGCATACGACAAATCCGTTGCCTGTTGTCGACGCATGTGGAGACCGACGAGCGAGCGAGGCTTATTTTGACGACCGTGCGCAGGCCGAGCCCAGCAGCAGCGAGTGAGTGAGCCGGAACGAGCAGATCATGAGGATAAAGCTCGGTGGAAACATCGCGAGGACTGTGAAGACAGATAGATCCACTGCACAAGAGACGATGCTCTTGTGCCTGCTGAGCTATTCGCTCTTCTTGCACACTCCTCGCCGCACTCGAGTACCGCATTCAGCTGCGGAGCATTCTTTCCTGACAATTGTTGATACCTGTCAAATGTGAGCAGAAAATCAAACGGGAACTTGAATCGTGACTACAAGACTTAGACTGACGATGAGCAAAGAAGATTTACTCCAATTTTGCACAGCTTGGTGGGGTAGTAATGGTAGACTTTCTACCATTTCGCTCTATTCGTGATATTTCTATTGGAAGCGAAGAATTTCAAGCAGATCATTTCTGTGGTTGCTCCAGAGATTCCAGGCTTGAAACTTGGTTGTCGATTCCAAAGCTTCTTTAACCATTTTCCAAGATACCACCTCCACAATTATAATGAACTGAGTGGGGAGACATACAGGCCATCACATTGCCAATAACAAGTGGATAAGACAGGTTGCATACTCTTTTAGACTTCCAACCTTTACACATACTTCAGCCACAACTTACTATACTCCATGAAGACATTAATAGTTATGTCTCTACTTCTGGAAATACTTGCAGAGATGTAGAAATGAAAACGAAGATTCTCTCAACAGCTTTTACATCTGGTTTGAAATATTTTGGGGCTATGTAAATAGCATTTCGGAGGAATGGACTGGAATTTTTTGCCCAATGATATCTGTCGGATCCGTAGAATGTTACCTCTTTAAAATTTTGGGAGAGACCGATTCACTCTGCTACTCCTACCCTCCATGGCTGCATGCTACAGGATCTTCTCTTTTGATGGGATCCAAAAGCATTTTGCATACTGAGTTGTCTTTTCGCTTCATTTACATTTCGTCTTCCATCGGGGAAGGAAGTTGCTATTTTATTTTATTTTATTTGCTCTCACAACCACTTGATATTTCCTACATTCTTCTAATCGCAACCATCCCATACAAACACACAGTGTAGATAGAACCGTTTTTGTTGGTCCGGAGGTTTGCATCCATAACCATTCCGCCACACGGACCTTGTGAATACATAAGTAGATCGTTATCAATGACAAGAAAAATCGATTTGGAGAGTGTACGTAAACTTTCTAGAGTGCAAAGCTTGTTGTGAATCAATTCAATCTGAAATCCTTTTCCTGTGGTTTGCTGGGGGACATCAATGTTTGCTCTATAAACTCATTTTTTTACAGAATACTGCCGACGTTTCAATTGACTCTAACTTGTTCAGTATTAAATCCCTACCAAGAGATTCTTTCCAAAAATGTGCATCTCGATTTTAGAGATAATCTTGCATGTCTATCCATAAAATCGCATCTGGATGCTTGACGTGGTCTCCTGCCTATTGAGTTTGCCTCAGACTATTATGCAGAATTCGGGCAAGAATGCAACCTCACTTCACGCCAATAACAAGTTATCAATCTAATTTTATCTCCCTAATTTGTTAGATCTCCAATGAAATTTAAACCCAGTGACCCAGACCCGATACATAAACCTGCACAGATTTAACAGTATTATTCAACTTTTATGTGTCTTTAATTGCTTATTTTGGGGCATTGGAAAATTATTTATGATATGTTCCGTCTCATTCCAACATGACCTTGAGCAGAATGTCTTCTATCCTTTTTTATCTACATGTTTTTCACTTTTTTTTTTGAAAATTACAAGTTGTTATTGTGTAGTCTTTTGAATTATATACAGTTGGAACTCAATTGGATTTTAAATTTTACAAAGAAAATTCATCTAAATTAACGTTTTTAAAATATAATTTTTTTATACGTATTAGATTTATTCTTCGAAATATATATGTTGGTAGTTGTCAAATTATAATCCTTCATTATTATGTACAACTAACATTCCTTGCAATCTTTAAGTTTCAAAAAGTAAATTGATATGCATAAGAAATACTGATTAAGTAAATTAAATGTTTTCCAAAAATTATTTCATGATTTAAGCTTGAAATTTCAACAAGTTTCTAAAAATTAAGTTTGAAAAATTGGAAAGTAGTTTGTAAGAAATCATTGTTACAGTGAAAAGTTCGAATTTATTGGAATTTATTACAACAGATTAGAAATAAAATTTCATGAAATGGAATAATTTGGTATTACCTATTACAAAATTTATAAAAACTTTATAATTTTATACATTTAGAGCTAAAAAAATTATTACATCATAAATTATATAAACATGAATTATTTCATTATTTTTATTAAAATATTAAATAATATAAATTATGTTAATAACAATTAAAAAATATTTTTATTATATATATAATTTTAAATGTTTTTAAAATAAAATAAAAATTAAAAAGAAATTTATACTTCAAATTATAAAATTATAATATTTCTAGCAAGCAAAATTGTGAACTTTATGGTAGTTAAACAAATTAGTTAAAATTAGATACAAAGTTATATTTTTACAAATATATCTACATTAACATGTACATGTTACTGAATTAGAACTCAATCGAAGCCACATGCATAACAAAGATTCAAAAAATTTAAAAATTTTAATTTATGTAAAATTAAATCTATATAAAAAAGTTCAAAGTCATTACAATTCAATTATATAAAATTTCAATCATTACTTAAGATGTTAATTTGTAAATAAAACCAGCAAATGCATTCTTGATACGTTATTAACTAATGACAGCTACAAAGATATTGCAATATACTTTTTATTTCATGGATTGATTTGATTACAACCAGAAAAATACGATACTTTTGTATTAAATTAATTTTATTTTTAAATTGAATTAAATTAAATGAATAAAAAAATTAATCTAAAACGCCCTCTTATTTTTAATGTATTATCACGATGACATAATACTAAGAATGAAATTCATGTAAATTCTTATCATAGTATAATTTTATGTAAAATTTAATTGATATCAAATGTAATTGATCTGTGTATGCCATCAAAATGTTTTTAAAAAATATCGTCAAAAAATGAAAAAATTTGATGCTAATCTTTTGCAAAAATGGTGTAGATTTACATTTGAAATTTAAAGATGCAAATATTTTTTATTGTAAAATTGTTTGCAATGTTTGAATATATGTGATTCTATATATGTAAGTAAATTTTTTGTATATAATTAAAAAAATATCATTTAAATTTTAATCAAAAGTAATGAATTATCACGCAGTATCTAAAACTTCAATTTGATTGAATTTGAAATCAAATTTTTTTTTCTTTGATATGAACTTGATCAAGATAGATTTTATATCACTAAATTAAGTAAATGATACGAGTTAAAGAATTTATAAATTAAAAAAATTAGTTTTTACGTAGTATTAATAAATTTTTATGTTTAATTATTAAAAATATTATTTTATAGTTTTATAATATATAAAAAAGATAATAAATGATTTTTTAGAATAATTATGATTTATCTAAGAAATTAATTAAACTAAAAATTAATATTTAAATCTTCCATATTTACATTGAAAAAAGTAATACTAAGTAAGTTAAAAAACACATATTTCACTTATTTCATTTCTTGCGAATCAATTTGATAAAATCTAGCATGATTTTAGAATAATATTATGTTTGCAGGCCTATCATTTAAAAGCTCATTGATAGTAACTTGTTACGATTATTTGTTGTCAAAAAAATAAAACTCTATGTTAAATTGTTTATTTTCCGATAAATTTATATAAAATTTTAATTAAGTATAACATTACTAATAAAAATATTTTTTATGTTTTTGAAAATAATAAAATAAATTCTTTTATTTAAATAAATAATAGCTAGTTTATATCATTAAATTTAAAAATTTTAGATAAATTATTGAGACATATGGTTGATTAGATGTTGAAAATGGTGAAAGCATGATGCATGCAATACTATTATTGCATGCGTCATTATATTTATACTATTATCATTAATTATTATCACGTTAAAATTTTTTTTGATTAAAAATTATAAATTGCCTTGAAATATTTGAAAATTATAATTGATTTTAGAAAAATATTAATAAAAATATTTAAATTTAAATTTAAATTTAAGCATAGCAATACGTGCAAAAATATTTTATCATTTTTATAGCTTTTGATGATTCAATTTAAAACTATTATAATCAAAGTTAAGGCACAAGCACAAGGGCAAAATTTTTTTGCATGATATAAGTACACTTATTCAGATCTTCAAAGTTGACGGTAGTGGTCACGGTTTTTTAGAGAGCGGTGGAATCATTTGGTTCCACTGCTCTCTACACATTTGGTTTAGGAAGTAAGTGTTGGGATCTAGTAAAATCTGTGATTGTGAATATTTGCAGGGCAGCATGGAAAGGGTGTCAAAAACCTAAAACTTATTCTTAAATCGTATATTTTATGAGGAGCATGTATAAAAATTTAATTAAAGATAATATTATTTATATTAAATATCATGAAATAATATTATTGAATATTTAATAAATTTATAATCATATGTATAATAATAAAGTAAATAATCTATAAATCTAAACTAAAAATTTAGATAAATTATTGAAACATATGGTTGATTAAATGTTAAAAATGATGAAATCATGATGCATCAATTATTGCATGCATCTTTACATTTATGTTATTATCATGGATAAGTATCACACTAAATAATTTTTTGATTAAAAATTACAAATTTCTCGGAAATTTTTAAAAATAAATTTCAACTTTAGCCAAAAACAAAAGTAAATAGTAAATTTTAATTGTAAGCACAACAATACTTGCAAAAATATATTAACATTTTTATAAATTTTGATGTTATAAATTAAAAATATTATTATGATAAAATACAATTAAAAATTTTTTTATTTTATTTAAATTTATGATGAATTATATATTTACTTATTTGTTTATTTAAAAAATAATTTTGTGAAGATCGAAGACTTTGATCTGCACTTGTAACCTCGACTTGCATGAAATAAATATTTGAAGTACATCATCTTTGAAGTCTCAAGACTAACGAGATGGTTTATCTCTTGGTAATTCTAAGACCTTGAAGAGTATTGGTAACTATCTGAAAGTCTACGTTCATGAGAAAGGATAAATATATTGTCGATGCTCCAAATCTGCCAGACATCCCTTCTTGCTCGTGATATCAATTCGT